TCGTTTGAAGCTTGTCAGAGGCTATTATGCCTCTCGTTGGGTCAGCGAAACTTTCCTTGAGGAGCGTGAGGAATTGGGAAAGAGGGGTGACTTTAGAATATGCAACCAGGTTGTTTTCACAACCGGCTGTACGCGCGAGAGACCTAGCAAAGCTAGCCGCTTCGTCCTTCAGGGCCTGGAAGGCCACGAGGACTTGCTCCTCCATCAGGATATGCTGAAAATAAATGTAACTATTGACACTGGCCTCACAGTTGTCAAAGTTCTCGTCCTTCTTCCCCCCGTACGCGTCTGGGAACTTAAGTTCCACTGGGTCCTTACGGGGTCTGGCCTCTCCCTCTACAGCGGCTACTGCTTTGGCACCCTGAATGGCGCCCTCGCAAAACTTCCCTACATTATCTCTCAATTGCTTCACTTCGCCCCCAATATGGGTGACGAACTCGCGCGCGAAATCTCTAAACCCTGACCGCATGGCACTCAACGCTACATCCTGGCTCCAGCTTGCCTGGCGCTCCTCCATCCAGGCCTTGCTCAACACCTCTAAATAGCCCAGTACTTTGTCCCACTTGGCCTTGTCATCTGGCTGGGCCAACACCTCCTGTCTGCACGCCTGCACCTTTGCCACCTCTGCGGTCATCTTGTTCACTTCCTCTCTCCTCTTTTTCTTCTCTCTCTTCATCCTCAGCTTCCATGCTAACTTTTGTTCCTCCTCCCTCTCTTCGTTCCATCGGATCCGTCATGGCTGCTAGCCCAGCGGCCAGCGCAGCTTTCTCATCCTTAGTCACATAGGATTCCGCCTCCTCATCTTCTCCCAACGATAAATTAGCGACCCACTCGCTGATCCTCTTCTCCAACCCTGTATCTGTCTCCCTCGTCATCGTGCCACCACTACTCCCTTCTCCACTCTCAATCCTCATTCTCTTTTTCTTCTTCTGCTGCCGCTTCTACTTGAGCAACTTTTCTTTTTTTTTCCTCCTCTTGTTGTACTTTCTTCATCTCCTCCTCCAATCTCTTTGTCGCCTGTTCGTCTGCGATAGCCTTTAGCTTCGCTTGCTTTTCACGCTCTTTCCTCTCCTTACTCTCTCTAACTAAGGCGGCCATCTTTTCTTGYTGCTCAGTGGTGTAGGGGCTAGTCTCCTTCCCACTACGGGTCTCAACCATGGTGATAAGTGTACAACCAGGTTAGTGGTTCCAAACCTCACCACGTAGACGTCAACCCCTAACTGACAGACCTACTGACTCAATCTAAGACTCACAGAATCCTGACAGGGATCCTGTCAACTATGGTCTCTAGCCTAGACCTACACTATGGCTGTCACTACT